TCTTTCATTTCTGATTTTGTTTATTTGGGTCCTCTCTCTTTGCTTCTTCGTGCCTGCACACCCCTTACTGGGGATGTGCCCACAACCAAGGTACATGCCCTTGACTGGAATCGAACCTGGGACCCTTTAGTCCACAGGCCGACGCTCTATCCACTGAGCCAAACCGGTTAGCGATTGTTGTGTTTTTATTGTCATTAGTTTCCAGGATGTTTTTAATTTCATCTTTGATCTCTTTGGTAACCCAATCATTGTTTAATAGCATGCTATTCAGCTTCCAAGTTTGAATTTTTTGGATTATTTTTATTGTAGTTTATTTCTTATATTATGCCATTGTGGTCTGAAAAAAATGTTTGATATGATTTCAATCTTCTTGAATTTGGGGAGACTTTGCTTGTGACCCAATATGTGGTTTATTTTTTAAAATGCCCCATGGGCGCTTGAGAATGATGTATATTCCATGGCTTTGGGGTGAAATGTTGTGAAGATGTCAATTAAATCCATCTGATCTAGTAAGTCATTTGGGATTGCTGTTTCTTTGCTGATTTTTTGTCTAGAGGACTTATCCAGTGATGTCAGGGGTGTATTAAAATCCCCTACTATGATTATATTGTTGTCTATCTCTCCCTTGATATCGTCCAGGAGTTGTTTTTTATGTATTTGGGTGCTCCTGCATTGGGTGCATATATGTTTATAAGGGTTGTATCCTCTTATTGTATCGATCCTTTTAGTATTATGAAGTGGCTTTCCTTATCGCTTGTTATGGCCTTCACTTTGAAGTCTATTTTGTCTGATACAAGTATTGCTACCCCAGCTTTTTTTTCATTTCCATTTGCTTGAAAGATATTTTTCCATATCAAAATAATAACAAAATAATAATAAAATGAAATAAAAATTAAATAGTGAAGTGTCATTCCTTTCCAACAAGTTTTAATTCCCCATGAGGGCTGGTTTAAGATCCACTATCTGCCACTTCTCAGCTTCCTGTTGCTGGGACTGAATGGCCTCTCTTTAGCCCAGTCCCTGAGGACTCTAATGACTATTCAGATTTATTTCTTTGTATCCTTTGTACCACTCAGGGGGTAGTCTGGGTGTAGCTGTATTGGTTGACTGGAGACTGCAGGGAGGGGCTATCTTTTCAGGAGAAAATGGCTGCCTAGGTCCAGCATGTCAGGTATGACTCAGCGCCAGACTCGCGGCCACCTCTCCCCGACCCTCTCCTCTCCCAGACTCTCCCCAGACTCCACAAGTCTACACCTCCACCTGCACCTCAGCCACAGGTGAGTGTTTGTATTTGAAAGGTCCTATGAACTAGGTTTAGTGAATAAAAGGAAAGACCAAAAAGAGGGAAAAGTGCTGTGCCACTGTGAGCCCCTCTCACCCCGACATGGCGCGGCTTAGGCAACTGTCCAGGCTGCCTCCTCTTGGATCAGCCTCTCATAGCTGTGGACTTAGATATATCATCCCCTGCCACCAGCAGTCCTGTGGACCTCCTTTCTACAGTCAGATGCTGCGCCTGTCCCAAGGGACACGGCCTCAGTTCCCTGCAGCTTTCTTCTGACGCTCCGGGATCAGAGGTCTCGCAGTTCTCTCCAGCTCAGATCCCTGATTTTACCATTTTCCAGGCATCCTCTGCCCTTCCTTGCTGCAAATTTTCTTACCAGCTGTGTTTACTTTGCCAATTCGGGGTGGATGTTATTCATTTATTCTAGTTCTATCTGCTCTGGGACAAGGCTCAGAAGACGTCAGCCTATTCTGCCACCGTTTTCTGGGAAAACTCCTAACACATTCTTTACTTTTACCCCTTCAAGCTGAATGAAAGGTCCTGAAAAGTCCTCTATGGCATTCAAGCTTTCGCTCTCTTACATCAAGTGTGCAGGTTCCCTGGAAGATAGAAAACTAGCACCTATTGAGCAAGGATTTTCTACCTCCCCAGGTTCCCTGGTTTCAAACCAAGTTGAACTTATTTCCTATATGTATCTCATGCCCTGTGGCCCTCAGTTGTTTACAAACAAGGTCTTGATAAAACCAATCATAAAATTGGCTCCAGAGGAGAGAGCATTGAAACAGGATTACAGCAGCCAGAGTGAAGACCTAACAGTAGGAAAGACCCTATACAAAGCCATAGAGGTGTGAAAGCACATATGGACTGGCGTCTGTAATGTAGGAGCATGTTTGTATGGTGTGCCTATGCAAACAGATATGTTATTGATTAGCCTGGAGAGATAGCAAGCTTGTGAATTGGACCAGGTTTGCATTTTTGAAAAACATACTTAAGGAGAAGAAAGACTAGTTTGGAAACCAATGCAGAATTAAGATACAATGATGACATAGACTTAATTATGACGAGAAAGTCTGGGTCAGAGAGACATTCTAGGCCTTATTAAAAAAATAAAATAGAAAAGACCTGGTTCCTCAAGCTCACAATACTCACAGACAGACTTCATTTAAAATAGAAAATTTGCAAATAAACATATATATGTCCTGTCCTATATAGATGAAATATTATATACATATAGTTCTATTTACATATGAATTCCTTTATGAAGGCAAGCAGAAGTGCACTGTAGATCTGCACTACAAATCTTTCTAGCTATAAATTGTCCCATCACAGACAGGTTTAGCTGTTATTTTTAAAATGTAAAGAAGTTGCTTGATTTCTCATGTTACATTTATGAGTGAATTTTAAGTTGATATTCATGGCATGCAAAGATTACTTGCACTTGAATAGAAATGGGAGTATATTTTGTGGTGCTTGTTAGTTTTATTCACACATCAATTCTGCACAGGACATTTTCAGCACTTGAAGCTCCTTGGTGTTCTACAGCTCTGTTATATGATATGGAAATATGCTTTCAGCCCAGCTGGCAAGGCTCAGTGCTTGAGTGTCAATCCATGAACCAGGAAGTCACCTTTTGATTTCTGGTCAGGGCACATGCCCGAGTTGTGGGCTTGATCCCCAGCAGGGGTCGTGCAGGAGGCAGCCGATTAATGATTCTCATCATTGATGATTCCCTCTCTCCCTCTCCCTTCCTCTCTGAAATCAATAAAAATATTTTTAAAAAGTTATACATTTTCACAGTGAATTTTATGAATATAATAAGAAAATTTAAATATATTCAATAGGGAGCAATGATAAAATAAAACACCTAAAGGTTATCCTATAATTTTTGTTTAGTAGGTTCCAATCAGGTTTTGGGCCTTGATGCAATCCTAATAAAGGTAATCACAATTTTATTATTAAATGAGACTGAAATTAACTTGGCTACAGATTTCAACTTTTGATTAACAAAATAATTGTCATAATAAATTCCTTAATAATTTTAATATTAGTGGAGCTATAGAATTCTCTTATTCTTTATTCTATAACTAAATCCTAACATTAATGCTAACAAAAATCACAAAATATAGGTATTTCTGTTGACTGACAAAGAGAATGATGATAGTATGCAAATTTGCAAGAATTAATGATTTTAATGAACATGTTTTCATAATTTGTAGACTCTAGTGACATCAGGGAACATTGTGCTTCCAGTTCAAAGGTAACAAACTCAAATATCCACGTGGGCCAGCGAGGTCATTTAACTGTGTAAAATGGATCAAAGGCTTGCCAAGACATGAAGAGGATGGTGATAAAGTAGCAAGTGCAGCCCCCGCATAAAGGCATTCAATTAAAAACATTAAAAAATGTTATGGATATACAAAACACGTTTCCTGGCCAACCCACCTTTGTGGACATCCAATTGAATTAATTAACCATTTCAATTGGGGAAGAAAATTAGTCTGTCTTTATCATGTTCAGGCTGCCCTACCTCACATTTAACATCCACATTTTTGGAGTCATGGGAAATCTCTGCATGACAAGTCATCACGTGGAGAGACATCACAAGAAGCAGGGACTATAAGATATGATGATTTGCCTCAGGGATTTTTGACCCTAAGAATATTGAAATTAATAGGCAGATTTGAAAAGGGTTAAAAAAAGGTCTAACTAAATAGTTATTCTTTAAAAGTATTTTACTTTACTCTATTCCATAGATGAGCATGTATTATCTTTCCTTCAACTAAAGTGTGGCATCATTGACTTAATATATGTATGAATATATTTTTTCTTCTAGATTAGGAGGACAGTACATTTTACTATAATAATTCAGATAGGAAATATTTTAAGCTTGCAGGCCATGTGATCTCTGTGACAATTTCTAAATTCTCATGTTGTAGTGCAAAGGCAGCCATAGACAATTCACAAACAATGCATAAAATTACTTTGGCTATGTGTTACAAGTTTTGCTTAACAAAATATTGTCATAATGCATTATAAATTGAATATAATTGGAGTGATACAGTTCTTTCATTCTGAACAATTATTTTGAGATTCATTCCATGTGGTAGCTGGCATAATTTTTTATAAATATATTTTTACTGATTTTTAGAGAGGGAAAGAAAGAGAGAGAAACATCAACGATGATAGATAATCATTAGTCGGTTGCTTCCTGCATGCCCCCCCATTGGGGGTCAAGCCTGAGAAACATCAATGTTGAGAGGGAATTGTTAATCAGCTGCATCCTGCATGCGCCCCCACTGAGGATCGAGCCTGCACCCCAGGCATATGCCCTCACCTGGAATCAAACCATGACCTCTTGGTTCATAGGTCAATTCTCAAACACTGAGCCATATCAGCAGGGCAACAAGATCCTTTGTAAGTAATTCTTTTATTTATAGTTATTTTTAATGAATAATTGAAATAAAAATATAATACTCCTAATGCAATAAAAACCAAGAGGAGTATATATAAATATTTACTTCATAGTTGGTAAAACACATAACACATTGATGAACCCAAGCAGAAGCTCATTCAGAAAGTTTTATTAGCAATAGGTGTCAAATTTACAGATATTGTGGAATCAAATTGTCCATACACAGTGAGGCACTCATGGTGAATTCTGACTTATGTTAAAATGAGAGAGACACACTAGCCAAGTGAGTAGTAAATAGAAAATTGTCTAATCCTCTTCGTCCCCTGTATCCTCCTCTTTGGGTTTGGAGAGGAGTTTCATTACTCGGTGTATAGGAGTCTTCACAGACTCATATTTCCATCCCTTCCTCATAAACATCTTCTCAATCACATCTGGCATCTTGTAGCCTTTGCTTACAATGAAATCTTTGAAGGCAATTGGTCCATAAAGTTCATCAATAATGTCTGGTTCAAGATGCCTTCGATAGGTCCAATATTCCTTGTCAGGGACGACTTCAGGGTCGGGCAAAGGCTGGTCACGGACCAGCTTTTTCCAGGATTTGGGGTCCAGGTACCATGCTCCATACCTTATCTTCTCCCGTTTGGGTTTATAAGGGTCTTGTCGTTTGCGGAGTTTCCTTTCCCAGTTATGTTCCTGCAGGGAGAATTTTCTCTGCTGTATTGCATCTAGCTGTTTGCAGGGCCTTATATTCAAAGGAAGCTGGGTTATTTTCTTTATTTTGACTGTATTATGGGTGAGTGGGACCTCTAAGTCAATTTCAAACTGTTTCATGATGTCCTCTTCATCAAGGCCTATGTCTCCAAAATTATCATCGATCCATCTGCAGAATTCACGAACTATTCTTCTTGTTTTTTGGAGCCCAGGAACTTTGGGGATATCCGTTGTGCATGCTGCATTTGTCTCTTCCTCAGGAAACAGACTGAATAAATAAGACTGGAGACTCTCCTTGGCTGTTTCCACGTGGGCTTGGTCTTCAGGTTCCAGGTTGACCTCCTCGGGAGGTTCCAGGTTGAGCTTCCAGGGAGATTCGGGGTGGACTGCCTCAGGAGGTTCTAGGTTCACTTCCTCGGGAGGTTCTAGGTTCACTGCCTGGGGAGGCTCCAGGTT